TTTTAATTGGAAACACAGCTTGTAATATTTGGTTTTAATTCGGCTTTTATCGGGGTTTATTTTCTGTATTTTTGTATTTTGTAATTTTTTGTATTTTGTGTTTATTATTTGTTTTTAATATGCTGTGAACCGCCCTGAGTCCTATGGGAGAAGGGCGGTATACAAATTAAAATAATAAATAAATAAATAAATAAATTTGGAATTTAAATATGCTCCAACAGTCAATTCTACATCCCTATCTTTCTTGAACTCTTATACTGATTTATTACATTTAAAAATAAGGCTAGGTTGTTTCCTTTGTCTTAGACTGTATAAGCCTTTTCTAGTTTTAACGGAAAAATATTCATCAGAACTGGGAACTAAAAAATGAGTATATTCATCATACTCATACATCTAAAGCCTTGCTATTAAAAGACCAAAGAAGCAGACTGTTCTTTCCAAAGTAATGATTCAATCATTGTAAAAAAGATTTTTAAAATAAGAAAAAAGTTGTATGCTTTGCTCGTGAGAGGACTAAATAATGCATGACTTTAATCATGCTCAGGCAGAGCATGCAACATGCAGGCATACACACACTCACACAGACACAAAACAAGCATCGATTCACATGTATATTGAGACAGTAGCAGGAGGAACAGCCACTGTAATGGGTGAAGATAGCACTGTAATGGAAAATAGGGTTAACTATAATTATCATACTTCTAATCTGCCCATTAATCCAATTCTTTAGCAGATTATAGAAATGCTATTTTTCTCCCTCCAGCCAGTCTCTGTAGCAAAAGGAGAAGAAAACTACCTCAGTGAATTGTCTTCTTGTTTAGCTTCAAATGGCAGTTACTAGTATCTAGGACTTGGAATGGGACAACTCGTCACGGCTAACTTGCCATGGCCAAAAGGCCACAGTTAACTTGCCACAGCCAATTCATCACAGGACAACTCACTATGGCCAACTCACCACGTGACAACTCGCTGTGGAACAATTTAACAATTCAGTTTAATTATTTAAAATAATTAAAAAATGTTTTAATTTTTGTCAATCACATTTCATTTTGTCCCTCCTTTGGCATCCTTTCTTTAATGATTATATTCCATAATTTCTTCAATATTATTGTAACTCTTGTTCCATGGCAAATTGCCCTGCAATGAATTGGCCATGGCAAGCTGTCCCACAGTGAGTTGGCTGTGGCAAGTTGGCCATGGTGAGATGTCTTAGACCCTCTAAGATTTGCATTTTGTTCATTTCAGCCTGCTGCAAGCTGTGAATGCTTGAAATCCTGCCTGGATATTCCACAAACAAAGCCTTGACCTTGCTAGTAACACAATGGGTCTGTTTCCAAAATGGAAGGTCACTTAGGGAGGTAGGCATTGCCTGGCAGAAACATTCCTGATGAGGTCTGCCCACACAGAAATAAAGAAAATGTCATAAGTTTTTGAATCTTGTTTTTGGATTATTGAAACTAAGTAAGCCTAGATATCAAGACACCCAAACAAAACTAAGACTGAATATGAAAAGTATGATCAAATGACTTTGTTATTATTTATTTAAACAGCTTTACTTGTATCCTTAAAAAAAGTTATTAATAATTTATCAGAAAATTCACATGGTGATATTATGGCTCAAGTATAATACAATCTTTAAATTGGGAACATTTCCTTAACATAAGAGGAATTGTTTAACTTGTACACACACTCTCTCTCTTTCTCTCCATCTATCTGTAGAACTATTGCTAATGATGAAAAAGGAAGATACTTAAATCCATTTGTTTAAATATACTTCCTTTTCTTATGATAACTATATCATGCGTCTACATACCTTAAGATTGGAACACAGTCTTTAAAAACCAACTATAAATGGGAAGTGATTAAAAATACTAGTTTATGAAAAGCACAATGTTTGTCAGAGTGAATTAGGGCAGATTCAAGATTATATTATCAACAGATATGAAACTTTCCCCCCAATCCCAGTGCAGTGCCTCTTACAATATGACTTGGCAGTGCAAGTACATGAGCAAATGGGACGGTTAGTTTCACAAGTGTTGAGCTGTCCCATATACAATGGAGTGACCAATTAGGAGTAAAACATAAGGAAAGGACTGAGAAGAAGGTGGAAGGGAAGTTCCAAGCTTACCTCATATACCTGAAAATAAAAAAGTGTTGTAGATCAGCATTGAAGGAAGAAAAGGGAAAAACAGTACAGCAAGACTTAAGCATGCATTCAGCTCAGAGCTCCCTGCCCAGAAGAAGCAGGGATGTTCAGCATACAGAGGTAGAACAGACTCCTATTCCAGTCTTCCTAAAGGGAAGACTCACATACTGAGTAGAGAGCTGGGGGTATAGCTCTCCTTGGAACAGTGGGAAATACCAGAGCTGTAAGGATAACATACAGGAAAAATAAGGACTCACATTAGAAGCACAAATAGTGACTTGTCATGCAAAAAAAAAAAAAAAGTTGTGAAGAATTTAGTATAATAATTGCACATTATTCTCTATTTCAAAATGTTTCATTTCAATTACTCTTCTTTTTTTCTGTTTAAAGAGGAGCCTAATAACTGAGACTTTTTTGTTCTATATTCTGGCTCAAAACAAACTGTTGGAATGAGAACAAAAAAATCAAATAATTAAAAGTAAGAGATGGAAGTGAGTGGGCAGAAAAAAAAGGCATATTGAGTACCTTTTAGGTGCATGTGTTTGGTTTAATAAAAATCCATAATGACATGGACGTCACTTCCCTTGATCTGCTAGGCCATCATAATTAAATATGATTGGCGTATACTTCATAGGCCATCGCTTAGAAGCCACCTGTAGCAAGCAATTTTGCATTTGAATTCAATAGCAAAATAATGCAAACTAAAATTCTGTAAGAAATATTTTCTCCAAGCAGGTATAACTACTGCTATAGGTAAGAATCCTGGAATAACCGTGGTTGTCATTCTATTACCTATTCTGATAAAACACTACAGGATTTCATATTCATAAACTGTAGAAATAAACTTAATTCACTTGGCTTCACTTCTATCTTGACCTACCCAGCTTTTCTTCTTCTTCTTCTTGGCATCTGCATCTTTGCCACTACCAATGCTAGAATGGCTGGTGATACTATTCAGGCTGGATATACTATCCGATGAGTTTTGCCTCTTGATTCGTAGTTCTGGACAACAAGGAAAAGAAAAGATCCATTCAGAATGTGCTTACAGACTTGAGTACTTTTGCATCATTGCGTCCTTTCAGTTTTCATGCTCAAACTGATAACTACGTTAAGTATAAAAACACAAACATATATTAAATAGAAAAACAAGGAAGCATATTTTTAAAAATCCCCTCTCTCTTCTGTACAGTTTGTTTCCATTAATTTAATATTATCTTAGAAAGATTAGAATTCTGCATGAAAAACAATCAGCTTATTTATTTAAAAGATACCAACTCAGAACAGGGAAGTGGAGAATATTAGGGAAAGAGATGTGTAAGTGCAATATGCATTCAAAACCATGAATTGATTGCCTATATTTAGAGAAAGATGCATATTGCTTTCCCTGCTGCTTAGTAAGTTCGGGCATTGTCAGATGCTGATACACACAAATGTACACCAAATCTATCATGGAGAAGATGCAGCTAAAAATATCCTCAGGGATCATGAGCACCAACCACTATCCTCACCTTTGGGTGTAATATCAGTTCCATTCAAGGCCCCTTGGATAACAGCCTGAGCTTCTGAATTCTTCTTCTTCAAGAAATCAATAGTTTCCCGCAAGTCCAACAACTCAGTGTCCTGAAAGACATTGCATAATATATTAATGCCTTGAGTTTTATTCTTTTACTAAGAATTCTTCTGAGTAATATTAGTAAAAAGCCATTTTTTCCTAATCCTTATATTCCAAATGGTACAAAGAAGCTGCATCTATCCAGGATTTTAATTTCTCAAAACCAGGGCTTTTTTTCTCATAGAACGCCCAGAACGGAGTTCCAGCACCTTTTTTGGATGGAACCTTGTAGGGTAGGCAAGGCAGGTTGTATGACATGTGTGAGTTCCGGCACCTTTTTTTAAAGAAAAAAAGCACTGCTCAAAACAATGCCAGCCTAATATTTTTTAAAGGGAAGAATGGTTAACTTTCTGACAATAGTGCCCTAGTTTTTGAAGTAATATCTTTAAGTAAAACAGCTCATTAAGCATGGGGAAAGGATTACTATACCTATTGTACTTATTTTTGTGTCTTTTAAAGAGATATAAATAACAATAACATGACTGGAGCAAAACCCCATCAAAACAGAAAATGTTTACATCCTGTAGCCTGCCTAACCCTATTCTAAGAAACTGGGAAAAACTGAAAAGTGTCTAGTATTAAATAAGCAAAGTTGGTTAATTTTCTTCTGTTTTATGTTAATTGCTCTGGAAGTATTGTAAGTCTGCACATTGATCCACCTGAGTTGTAAATTGTGTCATTAAGTGGTAGTATCTGGATGACTTTGGTTAATCTTGGAAAAAGCTATGCAGAGACACACCTAATTAGGACTTAGGGCTACAGATTAGACTGAAAATTGAAAAAACAAAACCCAGAAGACAATGGCAAACCACTTCCATATTGTGGCCCAAAATACAACATAGATCATGGATACGCAATTGCTAGGAGTCAAGTTTGACTCAAGGTAAATTTTATATAGTAATTCACCCCATTGAAAAAGTATAAACTAGTATTTTAACAAATACCCAATACTGGAGAACAAATTATTATATAAACAAAGTTTTACGATCCAAGTCTCTAGACACAGAAGTGGATGTGGTTTTCTTTCCCATACTAGAAGTTTTTGCTTTCAGCTGAGCTTGGATCATATTGCCTAATATCAATTGCCCAAGAGAACTAAATAATAATTATAATTTTCTGCTTTTTTCACCATCTATAGCCCTGAGAGGTTTTTTTTTTTTTTTAAAAAAAACCTGTTCTTCAACAGGAAAGCTAAAGTGACTGTTTGCTGCTTCTCTTCTCTGATATAATGACTCACCTTTTCTTCTGCAGTGTCAGCCAACTGCCGCAGACGGGATGTCATGTTTACCAGACTTTGTTCGAATGCTGCTACTAAATTAGCCTAGAAAGAAAAAGAGCCAATTTTAGTCACAGCCCAATCAAAGTTTATAAAATAACACCAAGGTCATGGTTTGACAAACTTTTTGCCAGCAGGAGAATGAAAATTAGTCCCAAGCTTCTGAACCTGTAACTAAGAGGAGTGAAAATGAGCTTTACTTCGATCAAAAGGTTTGCTAAACGGTAGGATTTGGTCTGACTCTTTCCATTATTATTCACCTCTCATATCTAGTTCTGAGCTGCAGAGAATATGACAGGCAATGAATGTTGGCTTCCTTCAAAGATACTTCAGGCACTGGCTTCCAAGTGAGGATCTAGGCAGGTTAGATGTCCCTATAAGCATCTGTTTGAGTAGGGACATCAGTGTGACAAAGATTGGTCATCAGGTGGCAAGTTCTGACTGATGAAATTTTCTCCCAGGAAAGAGAGATCAAGAGATCATCCACTTGTGCTCTGGATAGCTCCTGTGCTCAAAACCACTACGCAGCCTCTATAGACATTTGACCTGCAAAAGCCTTAGTACTGTAAGCACTTCTGGGTGTATATTAATTTACAACTTGAGAGAGAGAGAGATCTTCTGACCAACATAAAAGAATAAAGACACTTGCTGAGTAGCCTTCTTTTTTGGAATATTGCATCCAGTTTTGGTCACCATGATATAAAAAAAGATGTTGAGATTTTAGAAAGAGCACAGAGAAGAATAACAAAGATGATTACGGGACTGGAGCTAAAACATATGAAGAACAGTTGCAGGAATTGGGTCTAGGCTAATGAAAAGAAAGACTAGGCGTGACATGATAGCTGTGTTCCAATATTCCAATATACCATAAAGAAGAGGGATCAACCTATTTTCCAAAGCACCTGAAGGTAGAACAAGAAGCAATGGATGGAAACTAATCAAGGAGAGAACCAACCTAGAACTAAGAAGAAATTTCCTGACAGTTGGACAATTAATCAGTGGAATGACTTGCTTCCAGAAACTGTCGGTGCTCCAACACTGGAGATTTTTAAAAACGCGTTGGAAAACCATTTGTCTAAAATGGTATAGGGTTTCCTGTTTGAATAGAAGGTTGGACTAGAAGACCTCCAAGGTCCCTTCCAACTCTGTTATTCTGTTAAAACATCTTAAAGGATTTTGGCTTAAAAACAAAAAGCTTAACAAGATTGTGATTTAAGAATGTTTTGAACATATAAAGAAGACAGCAATTTTAGAAAACAGAAGAATATTTTTTCTTTGATAAAAGTGCCTTTGAAAATAGTAAAATTAACCAGACAATCAGACTGAACCTTCATGGGAATGCTGATTGTTTATTATTAAGAAAAGTAGGTACTTGGTAGATTTTATAAAATAAGAAGACAAGGGTAATAGGAGCCTTAGAGTGAGACTGTAGTTACAAAGAGCTAATTGGGACTAAAGTGTTAAAGACAGAGAAAAGCAAAACGGAAATATTACTTTCACCCTAGTAATTGACCTACTTTTACTTCTGGCCATAAATATCACAATGACAACCACAGGAAAAGAAGCAAAAACAGGAAAAAGGAGGGATTCATTACAACAACTTACAGATAACACCAGATTTATGGCAGAAAATGTTTCAGAATTTGGCAAGAGAATAACTGAAACAATTGCCAATAATTTGGATGCTTTAAAAAAGGAAATGGAAGAAAGATTTGCAGAGATAAAAAGGAATATGAAAGATGAAGTTCAAAAGTTTGAAGAATCTGTAGGACAATTGACTGTAGATGTAAAACAAATTAATGATAAAATGAAAATTGTGGAAAGTTAAGACAGAAGTTATAGAAGTAGGGGAAAGATCTGGATAACTTGGGATTACTGGAACTGTTTAAAATTAGAGCAATTCCAGAAGACCATAGGGAAGATATCAAAGAATATTTCCAGGATCACCTTCCAGAAAGTGGTGGAATGAATATAATCCAACATTCCAAAAAGTTCCAAAGGTGGAAGAATAAAAGGCCAAGAGAGGGTGCTGTTGCTACATGGCAACACAAAAGCTTAAAGTCCTCTCCAATGCTCAGTGATAATTTATTGTGGTTGTGCAGCAATACAATCCTGTTAAAACTCTGGACTACACGACATGTTTGTTCAGAACAGCTAAGCTTTGCTGGGATGCCCAGTAACTCTAGTGAAAATTGAACTTCCATTGTATTTCTTTTACCTTGCCTAAATTACTTGTGAATACAATAGGTTGGTTGGTAGGTTGGTCAATAGGTAGGTTGGTAGATAAGTATATAATTGGTTAGTCTTGAAAATTAAAACAGCACTTAGACTCCATGGAATGAGGGCACATTATGCTATTGCACCAATTTGGCTACTCACATTGGCTGAGAGCTGGGATGTCAGTGTGGCTACTTTCTCTTGGGATGACTCCAGTTCACGGCGCAGTTTGCGGATTTGCTGCAGGAGAAAGAGAGAAAAGGCAGGAAAGTCAGGAAGCAGAGGATTGCTGGCTCTCCACCAAAGGTCAAGAGCAGAAGAGCAGTGGGAAGTAAAGTGAGGGATTTACTGTACCTCTGACTGCATCCTCTCCTCAGCCTGGCAGCACATAATGGGGTAGAGGAGAGACAGAGAGGCAGGCAGTTAGGGTGAAAGTAGTAGAGGCATTCCCAGGCAACACAAGTGACCAGCCATGCAAAGAACCCAGCATAAGCACAGACACATTTTTCTATTTTGTTGTTATGTCATTTCTCCACCTCCTCTTCTCATTATACCTTATAATACTGCAAAGTATAGCGCTATACAATGCTACTATTCCCAATGGTGACAAATGCCAAATTCACTTTCTACACTTTCTCTTGGAAAGACTACAGCTAGAAATCACCCTTAGAGAAGGGGGAAATACAGAGAAAGTGAAAGATGGGACAGAATATATGATGAAAGGAGCACAGCTTACTGAGGAATAAGTTGAGGAAGCACTGGAAGCCAGGGACAGCACAGATCCATGAACTGTAATAAAGAGAGAAAGAGTGAGACTTGTCACAAAGTTTCTTTAGCTGCCTATCTAATGGAGTATGATTGGTCACAAAGTGATCCAGTAGGAATAGCATGGATGGAAGGTAGGATGGCAGTTCGGGGGGGGGGGAGGTTATATGTGTAGAAAGGAGTGGGTCAACAACATTAAGAGTTCACATGATGGCTAATATGGGAAATCTGATCAGAAAACTTCAGAGGCAGCAATTATTATTATTATTTTGTTTCTGAATGCTTGACTACAAGATTTCCTGGAGCAAACAAAAATTCCTGATGAAAACCTTATTTTTTTGTGTTTCATGCTTGTTTTTAGAGTAGGAGTTTTCACTTAAATCAAGATATAAATGCCAAAGTATAGTTGCGAAAGTAGAAGTTATGCTTTTCATGCAACTACAGAACTAGAGATTCAAAACCACACTGAGATCCAGATGGTAATAAACAATCCCCGTTGCAACCTACTGTGTAAATTGGTACTTGTTGGCAGTGTGGTTTTCTTTGCAGCAGGGGTCCCCAAAACCTGGGCCATGGCCCACTACCGGGTCGTGGCCTATTTGGAACAGGCCGCATGAGGGTTGTTTGTGCGAGCGATGGGCCATTGTGCATGCACATGTGCACAGCTTATCTTGCGCAAGTCGAGCTGTGTACACATGTGTGCTGGCCTGCCACTCACGGAAGTCGAGCAGCGCATGCATGCGCATGTGTGCCAGCCCAACACTCGCAAGGCCGGTTCCTTTCTCGCTCTCCCCAGCTGGGCTGCCAAGCCACAAAGGTTGGGGACCGCTGCTTTATAGTAAAGTGTTCTGGACAATTTGGAAGTGCTACCACATTCCATTTAAAAATATGCCTTAAAAAGGGTGAAGAACCAGTAATAAATCTAGAAACCAGCTGTGGCTTATGCAAGGCTGACATAACTATGATTCCTACCAAATCCTAGTTGATGATAGTGGACATGCATGCATAAATAAGAAATCAGGTGATCAGATTATTTTAATCCCTTACTCTATTTTGCTGCCCCATAAACAAAATAATAATAATAATAATAATAACCATTCCCTGCCAACTGCCAGCACAGCTTGTACTCTTGAGAAGTTCTGATATACTACAACTGTATCCTTGCATCATTATTATGGAGAAGACTATTATCCTCCTAGCTGGGCGAAGGACTCTCACCATCATCCACAGGGTCGCGGAAGGAGCCTGAGCGGATCATGCCCTTGGGTCGGTCTGCCAAGGAGAGGGTGCTGCCCATGGGGGAGGCGTTGTAGAGCTCGAAGGTGGAGTCCTGAGTGGGAATGCTGTTAGAACGGGTGATCCTTGGGGTGTTGGCTGCTGTGGGACTCACTGCAGGAGAAGGGAGCAGGGAAAAGAGCAGGGAGTCAGAGCAGCTCAGAGCTAGGGATGGGGTCTAGGAAGCAAGGAGCACTATATATGGGGCTAGCAGCCAGGATCAAGGTGGGGAAAGATAAGGAGAAATTAAATGTGCATCACACTTTGCACAAGATCCTTTATCCTGTACCTGTGTAGTTGCATCAGTTTGACTAGTTTGACTTGGGCTGTTATGGTGATTTGGGAGAATATTTGACTCTCATGCCTGTTTAAATGTGAAATATTTTTCACTGACTAAAGCCCATTGACGGATAGTACAGACTACTCAATACCTGTTAATCAATTCCCATTTAAAAGACTTTAAAAGAATAAATTCATTTCATCAACAATAAAATTGCAAAGGTAAAAAATAAGCTGTATTTTTGTATTAAACTGGAGAGACAAAGAAGATGCAACAATAAATAATATATGTACAAAGGAACTTAAGCCTATTATGTAGAATATTTTATTATCATTCTTTAAATTTTATTATGTTTATCCCTAATTGGAGAACTGAATTTGCTCAAATTTCACAGGGGGCTGATTGCTTTTCATTGCACATAAGAAGTAAAATAGACTTGTACTATAACTGTCTATTTAATTTATTTTCATATTTACCTCTAATGAAAAATACCTGTACTTTTCAGTTTTGTATATGTTTTTTCTTTTATTCAACATCCCCACCCCCATTCCCAAGAAAGTCAGGCAGAGCTCTAAAAAACAGATGCTTAAAACAATACCAAAGAATTCTACATGTGAAGCAAGTATGCTGGGTAAGATTCTGGGCTCCTGGATTAAGCTAGGAAAAGCTCTGCATGCTGACTAAGCAAACCTGAAATCAAGCCCATTGATTTATTTAGATATATTTTATCCTGCTCCTATTTTTATTAATAAATAACTCAAGGTGGTGAACATACCTAATACTCCTTCCTCCTCCAATTTTCCACACAACAATAATCTTGTTATTAAACACATTTATATGGTTGTCCAACTCATATGCTGTGACTTTGGCTGGCTTACAATATTATTCCATATTCTTAGCTGTTTGTGTTCTCTCAGCAATCCAGTAGGCATAAACTAAAGAAACCATGATCTTTAATCTATAACAGAGAACAGAGAACCAGTTGGCATAGTGGTTAAAGTACCAGGCTGGAAACCAGGAGACTGTGAGTCCCAGAAAATTGGTTGTGTTGGTGTAATAGGTTGAATAGTCAGATATAAAAAAATGTCTGATTTAAATTTACTTTAGTCACATGGGGGAGCTTCCAAGAGCTTGCTTCAAAAAAAGCAGCTTTACGTCCAAAGTGTCAATGTTTCCTGTGGGCTACAACGTCAGAGTTAATTCTGGATGGGCAAGTTAAAATTCCTTGCAGCCTATCACATTGCAATTTAATGTTTCCCATATTGCATTTGATGTCCAGAGCCTCAAAGCAAAGTAGATGTAATATTTATTTTGCTGCTTACCTCTTCCTCACCTAACATCTCATTCTGACACAAACACACCAATAGTTCAAGTCCCACTTTAGCCATAAAAGTCAGCTGGGTGAATTTGGGCCACTCACTCACTCTCTCAACCCAACCAACCTATTTGGTTGTTGTTGTGGGGAAAATAGAAGGAGGAAGGTGTGTTGGATATGTTCGCCACCTTGAGTTATTTGTAAAAATAATAAGGGCAGGATACAAATAAAAAAAATCAAAGCTTTTGTTTAACCTGGATTAAATTACTAATACAAGTAATCCTCACTTTATGAGGTTGCCAAGTGCAATGTCATGTGACTTATGCTGACTACTGACTTATGATGCCTACAGTATTGCAGTTGTTAGTTGTGAAGTCATGTGATCACCATTTGTGACCTCCTGTTAGCTTTCCAACTGACATTGCTTATCAGAAACTGACAGTGAAGATCGTGAATGGCAATCATGTGACCATGGGATGCTGTGGCCATCAAAATTGCAAGCCAGTTGCCAAGCACTGGAATCATGATCACATGACTGCTGGGGTTGCTGCAACTATGAAGACTGGTCATATGTCTCCTTGTTCAGCACCATTGTTACTTCAAATGGTTGCTGAACGAGTGGTTGTTAAACAAAGACTGCATTTTTTAAAGCATTTTATTATTGCTGCTTTTCTTCCTTACTTGTAAATTTACTACTGCAAATGAAATCATACTTAGTCACTAAAAATTCAAGGGGATGCTCATTGCTATTTTTTCTGGAAATTAAAAGGTAAGCTCAGGCTTGCTCAATAACCCGTGTAGCAAACTGGCTTTGGGAAATTACAGAAATATAGTCTTTCCACCCCATCAGGAATACAGGACGAAAGCGTCGCAGAAGTCTCCGTGTGAAGTTTCACCTTAATCATTGTCTCGTCCAATTTCCATAGGCTATTCAAAATATCTCTAAAATATCTTGCAACATGTTTTTTTTTATATGATGCTATTTTTGGATTATGAGTAGGTTAGAAAGGTGCCAGAAAAAAGAAAATTAAGGAATAGAATTTGAAAAAACGGCATATCTTCTGTTGGATTATACTGATTTAGAACAATTGACCTCTAAGGTTTCCTTTTTTCTAAAAAAGCAAAAGGAAAGGTGACTAACCAATATTGGTGAGTGGAGTTTTCCCAGCCAGTGGTATGGAGAGAGCAGGAGGAGAGGGCAGTTCAGAGGCATCATCCGATTCTTGCATTCCTCCAATTGTATGTGAGTGTCGCCTCTCCTTGGTCTCTTCTTGGGTTTGGATTTGATACCTGCCAAAACCAAGAGATAGAGAGGCAGTTTAACATAATTAATTTATGTTTCTATTGCATTAGGCAGGGATATTAAGATAATTTTTACAATTCTCTTCTTACACATTTATTCATTTATCGCATTTCTATACCATCTGTCTCATTTAAGTGACTCGGGGCGGTTTACAATTAAAAAATTAAAAATAAATTAAAAAATAAATTAAAATCACTGCTCTGTCTTTATGGGGAATTATTGGAATCTAATGGTGTGGTTTTTATATTCAAAGAAATCAGTTTAAAAGAATAGACTGTAATCTAAAATTATAAATTATAATTGACTACAGTTGCTCAGGGATGCTGGATATGTCATCGTCATTATGCAAGACATCATTCTCAAAGGAAATAAATGAAAAGAGATAAATCAAGACTAGAGTTATAATATTTATCAATACAATGATGTTGAAGTAAGCCATCAAAGGACTGGATTGCAGAGCATATAATTATTCTAGTATATATTCGAACTCAATAACAGAAAGAAGTGTTTTATATTGCTATGTACTTGTAAACTGAAATTTTAACTTTTTAAAAAAAAGTCTTAATCATTCACTTTAACTTTTTTTTAAAAAAAACTATTTTAATAAAGCAATTACATTTCAATTGTAGCTTTCAGAAAAATAACAAGGACATATGGTGAGAGAAATAATCAGAATCGATCCGCTGAAATCAATGAGAGTTGTTAATCATGTCTAAATTGATTTCAATGCATCTATTCTGACAGTTTGATGTAATCTATATTGGAATTACAGTTGGAATTGCTATATCACATATGATCAAGAACAGAGTCAAGAAGTCAAGGCTGTAACCAAACCTCTAGTATTATATAATTTGAACAGAAAAAAGGTGAAGTATAATTATAAATTATCTTCGTGAATTGATTTGCTATGGCCTTCTGACTTTGCAATGCTGTAGAATCTCTTGTTTGCTGCTTAAGTAATGAGTGTGCAACTGGCACATAGTTATACAGCACTGGCAGGAGATAAACTCACACTTTCTTTGTCCTTTTTTCACTATCGTAAGTACAGGAAGTTAGACATTTTTCACCCTCCACTGATAATATTAAATAATAGGTAACAATTACCTCAGTCCCTTCTTGGGTAACGTATTCCGGTCACGGTTAGAGCTGCAGGAAGAAAAATGAGCAGTAGTGCTTGTTCATTATTTGCTTGAATCCAGCTGTGGCTCCTGATAAGCAATAAACTGATCGTGAAGTTTGGGGAATGGGCCCAATCAGGCTTCACACAAGCCCAGACTCTGAGCCACTGCAACTTTGCCATGTATGCAAACTAAAGAATTATAAGCTTAAAAATATGGTGAGTTTTAAAGGGTTTGTTCCTGCATTGGAATGCTATAATCCTTTTTCTATCTTTTCATCTCGTTTTCTAATTAGATTAAAGGTAAAAACTCCCACGAATTGAATCTGGTGAGATATGCAAATCAAATACATCCTTGTAATTTGTTTGTCTATATCAGGGGTAGTCAACCTTGGCTCTTTTATGACTCGTGGACTTCAATTCCCAGAATTCCTGAGCCAGCTTAGCTGGCTCAGGAATTCTGGGAGTTGAAGTCCACGAGTCATAAAAGAGCCAAGGTTGACTACCCCTGGTCTATATAGAAATGATTTGCACTTGTTTCTTACAGGATTTTTTTTTACTTTCACGTCTAGTTTAAAGCCTTGGTTAGTATTCCTCAATTTATGACTGGTTGTTTAATGACAGTTTGAAGTTATGATGGCTTGAAAAGAATGCTTTTACACTCCGTAAAGCATTTCTGGCCATCATAAAATATTGCATCACTCGAGTTCCAATCAGATGATCATGATCTGGGGGCTTAGCAATCTATTTATAGGATACTTTGCCAATTGCCCTGCAATCACGTAATCCTATTTGCAATCTTCTCTGCCGGCTTCTCCAGAAAGTCAACAGGGAAACTGGGGGTTGCAGACTACTGCCACCTGCCAAAGGTTTCTCCTCCCCTCCATGCACAGAGAGGATGGCGTGAGAAATTCTTTGTTGGGCTGCAGAAACAAAGTTTGAATCTTCAGAATCCCAGTTTGAGTTACCTTCCTCACAGGGAGGAGAGAGCAACTCCTGCACAGTGCTGGAGAGATGAAGACGTGAGCTTTGTGATCTCTGCCTCATCTCTCCATTTCAGTGCATAAAGTCCCTTCCATGCAAAGAGAAAAGCTGCCCACCCTCCTTTGGCGGAAGCTCTTTTATTCTTCCAATTAACGACCTACATAGTCGCTCAATGACTGCAACTGGGAGAGCTGAAATGAAGTTACTGAGCAAAGCAATCATATAGGTTCTGTCTTAACAATCACTTCGTTCTATGACTGAGATTCCAGCCCCAAATTGTGATCATAAGTTGAGGACTACCTGTAGCCTCTCATCCATGTACTATTCAGGTCTGACCTTGTTTCACTTTTAAAGATTAACCAAGATTGTGTAGGTGGTGCCACCTACATATTACCTTATCTATTTTTATTTGTATGCAACCTTTATTATTTTTATAAATAACTTCAAGGTGGTGAACACATCCAACACACCTTCCTCCTCCAATTCACCCACACAACAACCCTCTGGTTAGGGCTGACTGGCCAAAAATCACCCAGATGGCTTTCATGGCTAAGGTGGGACTTAGAACTCATGGTCTCCTGCTTTTTGGTGCCTTATTGCAGAAATATAATTGAAAATAATATGATAAGTTCTTTTACTACAGTGAAAAATATTTTCCCCATAGCACAGGTATCCCATTTCTCTTCCTCTACCTTTCCAGATGTGTAATTCTTGGGCTTCCAGTCCAGGCCATCTCATTGGACTCTTCCTCAGCAGCAACAGGAGGTGTCGAGGCAATGGTAGGTGCAGCTGTGCTGCCTACAGAGAAGGCATTGTGCAGGTTCATAGGCATCTGTAAGGATTCCATGCTCCTGTGCAATCCTGAAAGCTTGGAGTACATGCGGGTTTCCTTGGGGATGCTGTATCCCCCCATGAGCTCCAGGCCCTGGGAGAAGCTAGCAGAATTAATGTTAAGGACTGGAGCAGGGCTTGGTGTGAAGCATGATGTGAGATGGGTATTTACAGTAGCTGGGTGTGACTCTTGCAGTTTACCACTATGCATCTGATGGAGATCATTTGAAGAAGGGAGATCTAGACTATTAGAGTTCACCTTGTCCAAGTTTGCCAGAGAAGGGGCTTTTACATAGCTTTTGGCAGCTGACCTGCAAAAGAGGAGATCAGTATGAAGACAAAGTTTGGTATAGCGTCTGATATTGCATGCCATGATCACTTCATGTATTATGAAAACATTATATCTAGCACAAGTACATTGAACATTTGCATATGACAGAGAAAAACAACTTTAAGCTACATCAGCTCCCATATAAGAATCAAATGCATCAAATTCACTATCCTGTTGATTTGGGAATACTGGGATCATAGCATAGTTCAGTAACTGAAGAATGTTTCCTTTCAGGAGATATTCCCATTACCCCAAGTCATCCCAATGCAATTGGGACTCAAACCAGATGCTGAGTAACACTTTTTAAAAAAATAATAATTAAGGGTTCACACATAAGAATTCAAACTAATGAGCTCTAGAGCAATTTAGTTTTGAACATATAATCACACGAAAACCACAGAAACCTGCTTTTTCAGTCAAGCCTTTGGTTCATCTAACTTAATATTCTTAATACTAATTGGCAAAAGCTTGCCAGAGTTTCAGGCAGGAATGTATTACACATTCTTAAAGATTCTGAGAAATTACATCTTACAATATTTGCTTGGCAATATATAAAATGAAATATGCACTAATTAATAGTATGACCAGATAATCTAATAGGCATATCTGCAGTTTAAGAGATGCAGTGCTTGAACAGAAAGCAACAATTCTATTTTGCAAAGTTACTTAAAAATTGAAATGAAGGAAAGAATTAGTTGTGTACTTGAACTATAGAATGAAGAAATAGAATACTCTATTTTGGAGACTCAGTGGGTCCAGTTCTTAAAAAAATGTGACATATGCTTATGATTCACAATTGAAATTCATAAGCAAACAGTATTTCATGCTTATTAGACTTCTCAAAATGTCAAAATACCAAATAAGAAATATTTATCTTGTTTCTTTGTTGGTGTTATGGCATTTATTAAATTTTACAATTTTTAAAAAAAACTTTTTTAGTATTCCATAATCCTCATACTACTTGCTGATATTCAGCTTGTAATCAATCAGAATTCCAAAATTCTTTTTATATTTACCAATCTAGATATTCTGTCTATATAAATGCATTTGATTTTTTTCATAAATGAAAAATATCAGCATTATATTTCATTGTATTATTTTTAGTCCTACAGCGACCCTTATTGAGTTTGTTTAGAATTTTGTTTCTACATCAAGAATATTAAAACATAGTTTCTCAGTTTTGTGTTACCTGCAAAGTTCCTCAAACTCTTTATACAAATCGTTTATATAAGTATTAAAAAGGACCAAACTCCACTGTACTTCCCTTGATATCTTAGTCTCTTTTCATGAAGAACAACTAATGAACAATCTTTGAAATACTTGTTCAGGGAATCTGTGGATCCACCTAGAAGACATGCCACCTAGCCCTTATTTATAAGCTTGCTTTATCAAAATGTCATATGTATTTTCTCTGATGCTTCATTCTAGTCATAACACTCCAGACTCCACAATTTTATCCACACAGCATTCTTAAATTAGAAAACAGACCAAATAAAGCACTGATCAAAATGACATTTTTGCCAGTAACTAAACAACAAACTTAAGCTCATCTTGTCTCCAGTATGGACAGGAAAGAGTTATTGTGACTGGCAGACTATAAACTCATACTGTCCAAGAACGGAAGGAATTACTCACTTGTCTTCATATTTAAAATCCCCTTAAAATGGTTTAAAAGCATAAATAATAGCACAACTATAATTAATTGTAATCATGTAATTGCCCTTACATAAATAATTGTGAACTGAAGCATCTTATTGTTTCAAAACCACCATTCCTACCTGAGGGGTGTGGGCGGCAGCTCAGCCTCTTTTGTGGGGGTCTGGTGGTCACTTGGAGCTTTTGGGGTGCTTTCAGGGGAGCCAATGCTCTTGAGTGAGGCAGAGTCAGAGTCCAGTGCCACTGCTTTGGCTTTGGCCTTCTCCTTCTCCCTGTCAGTCTGATTCACTGGCCCTGGGGTGCTCCGACTTGTCCCTATTTTAGAGGGTTCCTTGAGGCGTGAAACAGAAATACCCCCCTTGGCACTGAGGAGGCTGGGATCAATGTTGCTGCTGACAGGACGTGGGCCACTTCGTCCACCAGTGACACTCATGGAGCTAGATTTGGCAGGGCGTGGCAGGCTCCGATACTGGATGTTGGTACGGGCCCCTGGCGCCATAAATCCAGGCTCCCCTGCATTGGAGACATCCAAGCTGGTTTTCCTGCCATTAACAGGTTTGACAGGGATACTAGAGTTCTTCTGGATCTTGCCAAGTGTAGCTGAGCCACCAGCTTGCATCACTGTGGCAGTACCCGTTGCAGGAGGGGGTTTCTTGTTGTAACCAAAGGAGCCAGCCGTGGTGGTTCGTGTAAGCCCAGAGGGAGGCTTCTTGGCATCTGAAAGCCGATCTCGGCCAGCATCAGAAGATGAGCGCTGCAGGCCAGCATTTTTCACAAACAGTTTGTTTTTGTCTGTTGCTTTTGCTTCAGGCTTACCTGAGAAAGGGAAGGACTGATCAGGAAACAACATTTGGAATAGATACAGGAAAAGGTATGCCTTTACACAGATCTTTGGATAAAAAAAAGAACTTATTTCTATCTTATTAGAAATCTTATTATTACATATTATACATACATACATATATATTGTACGTATCTATCTATCTATCTATCTATCTATCTATCTATCTATCTATCTATCTATCTATCTATCTATCTATCTATCTATCTATCTATCACACCTGTATTATTTTTATAAATAACTCAAGGTGGAAAACATATCCAACACACCTTCTCCTCCTATTTTGGGCTGAGAGTGTGTGACTGGCCCAATATCATCCAGCTGGCTTTCATGTCATGGCCAAGGCGGAACTTGAACGCACGGTCTTTTGCTTTCTAGTCAGGTGACTTAACCACTAGATCAAACTTACCTTCAGCTTGAGTCAAATTTTGCCCATTGGCCTTCCCTCCAATAGATAGCCAAAATCTATTTCTGTCCCTTTCCATCCCCAAGCCCCATTCCACAAGATGAACCTAATCCATTCCCATAGTCATGACAGGTCATCAAAAAATAAGTTGCCTTATTGGAAACTTGTTGCCTTGAAATGCTGGTTGTAGTGTGATACAGCAATTCTCCAGGAATGTCAGGATATATTCCTATTTGTGTGTTTGCTAAGCTCCTTTCCTTTGGGTAGAGGATAAATAATTTACTCAAAACTGACATTTTGGGATTCCAGATATTATATAAGAGCTTGAAACACTCAGACAAAGAAGGTAGAGTGTAAGATTTTTCCAATAATGTCTTGTTGATAGTTCATCCCTTTATCTTCTACAAAAATCATAAATATTGTGTAAACATGTAGAGTATTCAGATATGAGCATATGTAATAGAAAGGAAAGGTTTTGTCACATTTGTATACAAGTATCAATTACTTAAGATTTAGTTTGGTGTAGTGGTTAACACATCACTGAGAAACCATGAGTTCTACGCCTGCCATAGGCAAAAAGCCAGCTAGGTGATCTACAGCTAGTCACATTCTCTTTTTCCTAGGAAGGAGACAGTGCAAACCACTTCTGAAAAATCTTGCCAAGAAAACTGCAAGGACTTGTCCAGGCAGTCTCCAAGAACTGGACACATTTGAATGGGAAAAAAATACTCAGATATAATAATTGTTGCAATTGCAACATTTTTGCTCAGAATAGCTTTTCTCATTCTGGTGCTGTTGGATTTCAACTGCCCTAATCCCTCAGCCATAATACTCAGTTGCCATGCTGCTTGAAAGATAATAGGAGATATACAGTTACGGAATATAATAAGGTGAATTCCCAGGAAAAAGGGTATTTAAGAAAGAGGATGAAGACAGCCCTTCTCTAATAGTTTACAGACTATATTGTAAATGCAGATAATAAAGTGCTTAGTTTGGCAAGATTCTGGCTACAGTGGGACAAAAGAAGTAAGTTTGGAAGGATCCCCACATGTTAGTTTTGATTTGAGGCTTGACTGAAACATCTGAAGTCTGAAATATCCAAAGAGCACCAAATTGGAGGTAGCTGGCTTAAAAATTCCTAAGAGTCACGACATGACTGAATATTTTACTGAGGTACAACTGTAGATTCATTAAAATATTTCTGGCCTTATTAGTGTCCTAGAAATAGTCAGGCACTCCTGCTTGGACTCTGCAGACAAATGGGAAACAAATAAAAAGTGTAACAATATAATTTCAATGACAATCTCACCTGCCACTTTAAGAGTCTGGGCTGTGTGAGTAATGGGAGAGGTCACTGCCACAGGTGGTGTCTTGCCCTTCTTCAAGGAGCCTGGTGGGCCCAAACTAACAGGCTTTTTCAGCTCCCCACCTTTGGCAGGAGCTTCATCACAGCTTTCAGAACGTTCCCGTCGCCATTTGGAGGAACTGTGCTCTATTTTCAGGCTCCCGCTGTCATAATCCATCTTCTTCTGGGTCTTCTCCTCTGGTTCACCATACCAGTTCAGCCCACTCTCTGCCAATGACCGTTTCTCAGAATCTGTGCGCAGCTACAGGACAGAAAACACTATGAATGAGACATTTCAGCCTTTCCTTCTGTGATGCTCCCCAAGGTTCATCCATCTGGTTCAGAAATATTGTGACCTGGTGACAACAAGTCATAAACCCTTGATCCTATATTTCTAAATAATTTTCTTCACAGTTGGCATGCCAAGGGATTGCCTGCATTTAAAACACATATTTCACTGCTCAGCTGCAGCCTTTATACTATCAAAGCCTCTAAAGCCTTTGGAAGCACCAATTTTGAAGAAGAGAGGTCTGCAGAATCAAAACACATAAGCCCCTCGTGTATTGAGAGAATTCAGAGCAAGCACTTGGTATTTGCCAACAACAACAACAACAACAACAACAGTAATAATAATAATAATAATAATAATAATAATAATAATAATAATAATAATAATAATAATAATAATAATAATAATAATAATGTCAGAAGGGACCTTGGAGGTCATCTAGTACAACCCCCTGCTCAGGCAGAAACCCTACACCATTTCAGATAAATGCTTTGGAGAATAGCTTGGCTCCCTCTTCTTCGTGGCAACCCCTGAGCTATTGGAACACTGCTATCATGTCCCCCCTCGTCCTTCTCTTCATTAAACCAGACATCCCAATTCCAGCAACTGTTCCTTATATGTTTTAGCCTCCAGTCCTCTAATCATCTTTGTTGCTCTTCTCGGTACTGTTTCTAGATTCTCAATATCTTATTTATGTTCTTATCCATCAAAATAGGGGAAAAAAAAACCATTTTAGATGAATATAGACAGAATGGTTCTGCTGGAGTCAGTGTGGCCTATATCATGCATGGTTATATTAGTCTTAATGATTTTAATCAAAATATTGTAACTGTAATTAGATTTAGATCCAATCCAGTATTTTAAGAAAGATTTAAAATTTTCCCCCAAAACAATGGCAGCTGTCTATGTTAGCAGTAAAAAATAAAAAGTAAAAAAGTTAACATGCAAAAAAATATTTGAACTTGCAAATAATTTGCAAATAAGCCAGGGAAATGTGTAAATTGGGCAAAGAAAAAGGGGGAAATGATATTGAAGTTACAAAATGGAAATACTATAATAACAACAGATAATCTAAAGATGCAATACTAGAGTACTAATTAATACTACTTTAAATTATATAAAGGAGAAGAAATTCCTCTGGCAAAGGCTGGTGGATATTTGAAGAAACAAAATTTACCAAAGATAGAAACAATTAACAATTGACTCATTACAATAAGGAATTTTGTGAAGCTATAAAAAGGGAAAAATCGGAAAAGTGCATGGACCAGACAGTTTACCAGCCTCTTATTATAAACATTTTGAAGATGAATCATTACAATTGTTGCAAAACACGATGAATTCTATTTTGCAAACTGGAAACATACCAGATAGTTGGATGTAGACTAATACAGCATTAATACCTAAAGAAGTTCAAGACTTTGACTTCACCAAAAATTATCACCTGATATCATTATTGAATAATGATTTTAAGTTATTTACAATGATTTTAGCTGAAAGAATGAAGATGGTTTTATAGGACTTTATTCATGAAAATCAATATGAGTTTTTACCTAAAAGACAGCTGAGGGACAATTATTAGAAATACATTGGATATTTTAGAATACTTGGAACAACATAAAGTTGCTTTTCAAAAATACTTTCAAAAGCCCCTCTGTGAGGCAGATTGGTGATTAAGAAGTTAGATAGATAGACAGACAGACAGACAGACAGACAAATAGATATTTTTGACCACCATAATTTTTGGTCTACATACCGCTATGGCAGAGTTCCTGCGGGAAGCCGTGGGGGTGGAAGGTAGGGAATTGAGTGAAGAACTAGCATTGAATTCTTCTGAACTGAGATTGTCTGAGGCATCACTGAGGCCACTACTGATGGAACTACTTTCATCCCAACTGGAAGCCAGAGAAAAGATAAATGATTAGTAAAATTTAGCACAGAGGTACTGCTACATAACCAAATGTATTCTTCCCCATTCAACAATGTCCCGGAAGAAAAACCAAGGAATATCAATTAAGTTGCAAAATAATAAATTGATTTGCAAACAGGATGTTTCATCCTACTTCCTGAAACAAAAGCAAAGATAAAATGGTAAGATTGAACTATAACCATTTAGTTTAAATAAAATTACCCAGTATGAACCAAATCTTAGTAATTAGTCTGAAGAAAAAGTTGCCAAAGATATTGAATGTCCCAAGACAAAGAGCTCATGCTCTGGATCAACTGTGTTTGACCAGGTGCTTCCACGAATATTGGATTTCAGTTCCAGTAATTCCCAGCCGCCAGTGAGTTGGGATTATAGGAATTAGTCCAACACATCTGGAAGGCATGACACTGAAGAAGGCCATTCCAGACTATTTTATTTATAGATTCATTGGACCTTAGCATTCCTTTACTAACATAGCTAAGGTAAGCCAAACAATGGTAAGAGGATTGCTAGTTTTCATTATTTCTACTGCTCATCTAGGAGGGGCAAAGATGATTCAAAATACCAACTCATGCATGACATGAACAGTTTTAGTGTTTTAGTCCTGAAGGTTAACACACACACACACACACACACACACACACACACACACACACACGTGTGTGTATGTGTGTGTGTGTGAACTAATAAGGTAAATTTAATCTGGTGTGATTAAATTGCAATGATTATCATTGCAATTTAATCACTGATGCGCACAGAAAACAGACAAATCCTATTTAAAAATGAGAAATGGCAAGTGGGAGGAAGATGATGAGGAATTTTTGCCAATCTTCCCACATGGGACAAGGAGTTCACGGACACCCTGAACAGGAAGAAGCTTCTTTCCAGCTCGGAGAGGCTGACAGGAGCAGGTGCTTGGGGGAAGGAAAAGCAATGTGTCTGTTTGTTTATCTCACTAAAAGGCTTTATTCATCTCGTCTGGTGTTTTACACATTAAACTCCAAGATGACTAGCCCAGATGCATTCAAATAACTACCCATGTCTGAGCTTCTCTTTAAACAGACAAGCTTTCCAAACATCCCATGAGTCCTGTATGAAAAGAGCTAATTATGAAAGGGGTTAATTATTTGACTATCGATCAATATTTAACATACAATATAGAAAAAAACCCCAATCTGATCACATTAGGGAGCACACTTTTTATGTATGAATGAAACTATTATATTTCCAAATATCCTTACTAACAACTTTGAATTGCACTTCTCAGTCATTATGTTCAGCTCTCTGTTCAACCATTGAACAGATGGTTAATACTTAAGGGTGGGAGGATATTTTTAAATCGGGAGACAGTGCATAGGTTTGTTTTCATTTTCATTTCACTGAGCAAACAACTTACAAACAGAACAACAGGGAAACAATCCCACCATTTACAAAGAAGAAGCATGTTACAATGATCTTCCAGATGTTTTTGAAATGTATTGTCATATAACATGCTCAGTAAAGTTCACTAATTACCTTGTTTGTGGGAAAGAAAATTTACTGATTCAATTTTATTTTACAGTGAAATCTTGACTTAGTAGACGTTAATGCAATGGACTTTGAATGCAATGGATGAGATTTTGATTATATTTGCATCATTTATATCATGTGTCTATTTCCATTACAATGCAAAAAGAATATCTTGATGCAAACAATGTAGATTATGTCATTTGCATGACAACAATACAGATCTAAACTGTAATTAGTTTTGCTTAATTTTAGCTTCTTCCAATATGTGAAACAGTAGACTTTGGCTTATTTAACAAGCTTTGAAATAAAAGTATAGCTTAATGTAATCTGTTAACATAACTGCAGTGTATAAGCTATGGTTTTTAGCTAAATATTTTGTAAGAAATAGCCATTAACGCTTATTCAACAAAACATAGATAAGCAGACTATGCTTATGAACTCAACTTTTGATTTGGGAACTGCATGAAAATAGTGGTAGCTTGTCAAATTGGTGCATATCCCACTCTTACAAACTAATAACTACCATTTCATTTTAATGTATGCCAATTAGTGTACATTCAAAGTGACAATAAAGTTATTATTCTGTTCTGTTCTACTCTATTCTATTCTCACCAAGATTCAGTCTTAAATGTGTTCAGTTAAGATATATGCTCTATGTACATTGATTATTACTAGTGAATCAAATTTGAATTATACAGAATCATCACAAAAGATGTTTTGGATGTGATAAGGGTGGGGATTCTTCTGTTGAGCTGTATTATGCCAATAAGGATAAAAGGATTAGTAGAGGTTTAACTCTTTTGCCCATAAAGATGAAGTCCTAGAATATCCCTGTAAAAATGGAGCCATTCTAGATTAATTTTACTTCCCTCTCTCCAATCACATAGTTGGTAGAAGATAGGAGAAAGAGGATGAGGAGTGAGTAAGCCTCTTCTAATTCTATTGATAGAAATGCCAACACTGATCAACATTGATAAAATATTGTTTTACTTTAACAATTAAAAAAGGGCCAGACATATGGCAGCTTGGAAGCCATCAGGGATGGCCATTTCTGATTGACTAGGGCATCTGTGTGTTCAAAGTGCACAGGGCAATTTTTTCTGAGATAATAGGCAACTGGTTCAGCTGCATCACACAACACTACTTTGAAGCTCTAGGTCTGACAGAAATTCAGTACATAAAGAATTGCCCATAACTGACTGCATCTATGCCCTGAGGAAAGCTGTACCAGTAATTTGTAGTTCGCTTAGCTATTGCTATAAACATTGTGTTTTGAAATTTAAACAGACATATGCAACCATGGTTGACATAGAGGGAGGGGAGAGAGTAGAAGTAAATTTTAACAATTCATGGACAGCAGAATAAAATATCAAACAAACCAATTTGGCTAAGAATTCAACCTTTCTCTTCACTCACAGATCCCAATTATACAGAACTAGTTTGTCTTCTACAATTCTTTCCAAGGATAACAAGAAAATTAGTCCAAGAGCAATTGGGGAATTGTCTATAAATATTTTGCTACAGAATTTGTCCTCCAGAAACATAACATGTGAGGGTGAGAGGATTAGCTGGAATAACATCTCCTTAACATGGACTTCTGCTTTATACAGAATAATAATAATAAAAAAGATTATCGTTCCATGGACCTTTCTGTGGTTTTCTTGTTAGTTATCAGACTGTTCCTGCTGTTGTTTGATGCCCTTTGTCTGACCTTGTTCTGGAATGGTGTTTCAGCCAGGGAAGTTGGCACAACCCGATCTTTTGACATCTGATGCAAACTGTACCACCTGGATTAACATGCATATTATTATTTGGGAAGATTTCACACTTCCCCAAGGCTTCCTGTGCAAAAAATATTATCAAACTGTGAATAAAACTGTCTAAATAAATTATGCCTAAAATTGAGAGTACAGCACTAGCTGTTTAGGTAGCGTTTAAATATAAACTGGTGTAGATTTTTTTTAAATCATAGATTTTAAATTGATCATATTTTATACAATGTTGGCAGCATCCATGAAATAAATGTTTATTCACATTGGAAGAGATAAAAACCAGGACCTGAATAAAGCTTCACCTTTTAATCTTTGACTAAGCTGTCCAATTGTAGTTCAAAATATTCATGCTTATTTGCAAGGATTCATCCCTAGATGCTACTTTGAGTCTCTTCCTCTGGCAACAAATAAGTCTTGTTCATGAATATGATGCAGTGAGTAAAAACAGCTGAGCAGTAGGGACTATTACCGAACTATTACTAGCAATAGATTTAATTTACTTGCTTTTTAGGTTCTTTCATGCTTATAGACAAATGAAGTCAGTATTCTAATAAATATTCAGTGTAGAAAATCAGGGATACATTCTGAGAATTAAACAATCTGTAGGCCTTCTTTGATTCAGATTCTCAAGCAAAAAAATCCTAGGGATATCATCTCTAACCAAAATAAGCCCTGAGGCATTTGTTCTGTAGCCCTTTAACACAGTGGTCCAAAGCCTCAGGTCTGGGAACGGTACTAGGCTGCAGCCCATTGAGAACCAGTCTGCGCAAGTGGCCAGGAAGTGCACAAAGCTTCATTTGCGCATGTGCGGGAGCTAGGTTGCACATGCAAAACCATCCCCATCCCGTGCGGTTGCTGCTGGTGGTCCATGTAGCAGTTGGGGGCTGCTGCTCAAACAGGTATCATTGCAAATTATCTGGGCAAATTTACTCTATCCCAATTTTTAAAGCTTTATTCTCAGAGTTATAGGCTCTAGCATAGAAACAATTTAATATTGTATATCAAAGATTTTAAATTTTTTGCATTTATAATTTATGAAGTGACTTATCTATAAAATATTTTTTTGCAATAATTCTTTTTGATTACTTGAGTTTGATTCAGCTGGGTGGTTCCATGCACTCTGGGGTGCATGCACCCATCAGTTAAACAATGTCATCTCGCAGGATGCAGCAAGCACTCCTACTCTCCTGCAATTCCTGTCCTCTGAAATGATCTTGTTCCAGAAATTGGTGTGGCCCACTCTTAGGACATTCAGAAGACTACTTCACATCTGATTGTTCTCTTGGGACTCAGGGCAGGTTGATTGTAGAGCCCCCTTTTGTTCTTGTTTTGTTTTAATCTTGTTCTGAATACTACATAAATACATACATATATACATATATACTCTCCTAGCTGTAAGCATTCAGAAGTTCAGGAATCAATCAGTAAACAAATAGGTGGTTGTTTTTTTAAAAAAACCTAATAAATGAGAAATTTCAGTTTTTCCTCACACTTTTATTATATATTCTGTTTTGTATTACACTGGGTTGTACAACCCAGACCATAATCTCTTAACAAAGACAGGTGTCAGTCCTAAAATAGATGAATACATGGTTATAAAGATACTCTAATACTTAATATATAGTGGCAGGAATGACTTTCAACAAAACGTGATCTAGGAACTTTTGTCAAATTGGCTCTGTGGTTTTCTCATACTCCAGCTTCTGTAATGTAATTAATGGGAGAGAATCTTGCTGATAATACCCTAGTAGACCATGTGTAAAAGCCCATCTTTTAATCTGTCAATCAAATCACCTCAAGTAAAGAATGCTGCTCAGTCACTGCATTGATCTAAAGCTCTAGGCTAGAATGACAGCTACCACTTATGCCCAATGTCCATCTTCACAGCAACCCATGGAATAAACTCCTTCCAACAGAATAAGCAGCGCCTGTTTTCAGGTCACTGCTTCACCAGGTCAATAATAGCCCTGAAAACATTTTAACAAGTCTAGAAGAGATATTGGGCATAATAATGATAGAAGGATTTGAGCACAATTTTCTTAAATAGTAAAGATAAGTCAAACAAGATCATAAACTACAAGTTATTACCTCCTCTTCAGTACTTTAATGAGTGGAACAATGTCAAACAATGCCATGAGAAATCCCATGGCTACAGGCCAATTTAGGAAGTCAGAGAAAGAAGGGAATGTCAAACCACATCTTCTGCCAAAAACAGATGTAGTCATGTAGATACTAAAGCAAAATATATGATACACCGGACCTAGCAACCCTGGTTGAAACCCTGTTAAGCATGACTGGATGTCAGAGGAACCTGGATGGGACACTAATAATAATAATAATAATAATAATAATAATAATAATAATAATAATAATAATAATAATAATAATAATAATAATAATAATAATAATANGAGCATTCACCGCTTCTGGAGGCAGGTTGTTCCACTGGTTAATTGTTCTCACTGTCAGGAAGTTTCTCCTTAGTTCTAGATTGCTTCTCTCCTTGATTAGTTTCCACCCGTTGCTTCTTGTCCTGCCTCCAGGCGCTTTGGAAAATAGCTTGACTCCCTCTTCTTTATGGCAACCCCTGAGATATTGGAACACTGCTATTAAAAAAGACTAAGCTAGAGTATGAGGAGACAAAAAAACAAAAAACAACAACCCCACACAAAAGAAGATAAATCATTCTGTAGTTTTGTCCATGAAGTTAAGCTCAACTCAAAAGAAATTTTAACTCTTAACTGGAAAAACCACTGAAGCTCCAGGGTTAATATTCAACAATGAGCACATGATAGTTCAGAAAAAAATCAGGATTATATTAGCTCTACAGTCCTGGTCCTAAATAGTATTTTCCATTTACAGTATATTCCCATACATGTCTGATATGGCTAGAATTTGCTCTGAATAATTGAGGAACACACACACATTCATTCAGTATAATCAGAATAATGTTCTCCCAGAATAAAAAATAAACAAAAAGGTGCTAAATATTACTACCAGGTAATGTCATATTTCCAAATGTTTAAATCTCTTATTGGATTGTTTAGTACCTAGCAGGTACATAGGACAGCTGAGAAAACTCTATTCTTTTGATAAAAGAGATATCAGAAGAAGCAAGTCTGACTAAATAAAATTTATCCCTTTAAAACAACAAATAAAATAGCCCAAAATACATTAAAATAATTTCATCCTCCATTTGGCTGTGATGCAGTATGTGCTGGTACTGGAGGGAGAGAAGTCATATCCTTTGATGATCTATGTTGTTATGCACTCTTCCTCACCATAGTCAGATAAAAAGTGGGGCTGTCAGGCAGCCAGCTTGGATAGTCGGTTGAACAGTACAGTATACTGTTTGTATCTGAACCAACAACTGCACGAACATATGGAGGGGATGACCCTCTTTCCACTGGGAAAATCACCAACACTAACAAGTCTTCCTGTTTGTGAAGGTCACTGTTTTCAAATTCAGCTTGTTTGGAGCAAAGAAAGACAGTGGCAGTAGAGGTTACAAAATGGACAGAACAAAAATATGCCTTTTCAAAAGACCAGCTAGCTGTTGCTTAAAACAGGAATTAGCTTTGCATGTCTTGGGACCAGATTTGTTAGTTGTTAGATTTCCAGTGAAGTCCACAAAAATGGAGATTAGTCAATACAGACTTTGTAGCCCATGTTTACAACTAATTCTAACATATAATTTACACTCATTTTGAGAATTACAGGTCTTATATGTCAATATTTTTCAAACTAGGCAATTTTAAGATGTGTGGATTCCAACTGTAGAATTCCCCCGCCAGCTAAAAAAATACTGTCATATATGACTCCATAGATATTAGTAGAGTCACTATTTAGGTATGTAATGCTATTTACAATGTATTTAAAAAGCAGTCAGGAGCAATAGGGCTGCTTCATCTTCTCGGTGGGGCAACTGACTCCCACAAAAGGATAGGAAAAGAAATAATTTCTATTTGCTACTTGCTATTTCTTGGGTGTCTGCTGACATCAGCAATTCACATGCTGCTTTCACACATACACTCTAGTCATTGTACATCATCATCAAAATGGAATCATCACAGCACACACCGATACAAAATAGTTTCCCTCCACTACCTATGCTTTTTTAAACTAAACATTTTCTTTTAGATGGAAAAAGGATACATGATTCTTACTTATGCACAAACTATGATATAACTGAGGATATATTATCCACAATCTTACTGAATACAAAATTACATTGAGAACATTAGCTTAAGCAAGATAAAAGAAATGGACTCAACTGAAAATATTCTTATGGTTTCAGGGATCAATTCTTTTTAGAAATTTAATTTAATGAAGATTAAGAAAGTGGAGGTATAATTTGGCCATCTTTCAGTGTCCAAAACTGATCCAAGGAGCATAATGCAAGTCCTTTTCTCGTAGAGACCAAACTGAGATCCGAAAGGGAAAATGGGAGAGGAGATAAAAGATTAGGCTACTCATGGGTAGTAAAACAAAGGATTGGCAGTTATTTATTTAGAGGGATGGATAATGGCTCTCTAATTTCTATTCCCTACAGATGCCTACAAAAAATGAAGACTCTTCTTTTTTCCTTTCGCTGTGGTCTGCACTAAAGGAAATCTATGTATCATCTTCAACAGCTGAAAACATTCAGACTAAGATGACATCTCATCTCTGTAAGGGCCTGAAACTCATTAGCGTTTGCAGTAGTTATGCCTGGCCTTAAGCCATACATAACTGTGGTTTATGCTTAAACTCTATCTAAATTGACTCACTGATGCTCCTGAACATAACAACATTGAGAAAATTTGTTTTAAGCACCACATCAAATTCTGGAGGGTTGCATACAAGGCACTGAATTGAGAAGCATCAAAAGGTTTGGCAGGTTGAAAGCCAGAGGTACTAACTAGGATTCTAAAGACAAGATGTGGCTCTTAACAAGCATTCAAGTTATTTTGGCAACTCATCATGGAGTACAAAACTCCTTTTCTTTCTTGTTTGCATCCTTCCCTTGACCTCACAATCACTCCAATGAGGGGGAGTCAGCCGTCTGCTCATTACATGTCTGTGGTTTGAAGCAGTTCTGAATAAGCCAAGCTAATCTAGCCAACAAATCCCATGGCTGCAAGGAGAGATGAACCTTATGAAAAAAAAGAGTTTATGGGTGAGAGCAAGCAAAGGGGGATGTGAGAACTAATTTCCTGAGTGGCAAGTACTCCAAAGATTAACCTCCATTGCTGCAAGGAATCTATGTTTAGACATGGTGCATTGGTCTTTGGCAAAACCTCTCCAGCTCTTAACTCCCTAAAGCTTTCTACAATTTGCATAAACATGCAGGATTTGATACAGTACAGTTTTCATTTAACAAAAACAAAGCAAAGCAAA